GCAGCGGCAGCAGCAGCAGCGGCAGCTGCAGCAGCAGAAGCCGCGGCAGCAAGATTGTGTGGGGTTGGCTGGGGTGTGAATAAATCAGTTTTTTAATGTATATATTTTTGTTTGTTTTTCTTTAATAGTAAATGAATATATTGGAGATAATAAATAGTAATAACTTATAATTTATAATTTTTAATGATTAGAATTAGATATTGAATTAATATCTTCTCATAGACGCCCCTTCTGCTGTCTTTGTCTATCTATCAACTTCTTCTGCAGCGACTCTCTTTGTTCTGCTGCTTCTTGGAATTGTTTGCGGGTTTCGCCTTCGATGCGCTCGCAGCGTTGGCTGCAGCAACATATTTAAAATAAAATTAATTAATTAAATAATTAATTACATACATCCGTGCATTAAATTCTACTAGTAACTGATTAAACTTGTTTAATTATTTATTCATGAATCCAGCAGTTAATAATATTTATAAAGACATACAAATAACAGCAAGCCAAATAGATAAACAAATACATAAATACCTATGAGAAAAGATCTTAAGAAAACAATTGATTAAAATACTCAAAGAAGAAGACAAAGAAGAATAAGAAGAAGAAAAAAGGAAGAAAGGAAACAAAAGAAAAAAAGAAAGAACAAAAGAAAAAAAAATAAAGAAGAAAAGGATAGGAAAAAGAAAGAAGACAGCAAAAAAACAAAAACAAAAAACACACTCTGCCATCGACAGAAGAAAATACAGCAGAAGACGAACCCCAAAAAAGAAAAAACAAAAATAAAAATAAAATTAAAATTAAACAAACAAAGGAGAAGAGAAAAACAAAAAGATAGAAGACAAACATCCATAAGAGAGAAAGAAAAACAAAAAGATAAGCAAAGAATAACAAGAAGAAAAGCAAAGAAAGATAAGAAGAAAAGCAAAGAAAGATAAGAAGAAAAGCAAAGAAAGATAAGAAGCTGAGTATATAACATAATTATATTTGCTTACATTTCCCCCTTAACATAATCTAATCTTTTAGAAACAGTTTGCACTGCTTCTTCTTTATTCTGTCGAATTAAGACGGGCCCAACCATTTTATATATCACTGCGTCAGAAGAAGCGGCGTCTAACTCCTGAAAATGCAGATATATATACTTCTAAAGGCTCAGTTGAGGTGCATGTACACCGCAATTCATTCATACATTGTGCCTCAATAGCAGCAGCAGCAGCAGCAACACCTGCAACAGCAGCAGCAACAGCAACACTAGCAGCAGCAGCAGCAACAGCAAAATCAGCAACAACAAAAGCAGCAACAGCAACAGCATTAACAGCAGCATCAACAACAACAGCAGCAATAGCAGCACTAGCAACAGCAGCAACAGCAGGAAGATGTGGGTAGACTGCAGTAAATGCATTAAGTGCATGGGGAGAAGCTGAGAAAGAATTGTTTAAACAAAAGAAAGAAAAGCTCTTACATTCATTACCGCCTCTATTTCATTTTGCTGGGTGAGCAGACGGCTGATATTTTTTGTGTTTGTTTGCAGTTCTAAGACAAAACAAGTAAACAAACAGCAGTAGAAGAGGAAGAAAGCGGCGATAAATATATCAATTGATTCATATAAAGCAATAATACGCTAAATACAGCAAAATAAACACCTAAAATGCATCAATATTTAGAAAAAAAGAAGGAAATCTTCTTACTTTCCACAAGTCGATCAATCTCGGCAGTGGCTTCCTTTAGCCTTTCGCTGGGCATTTTCGGGTGTATATTTTGATTGATAGAAAAACAAATAATACAATAAATTAAAAAAATAAAACAAATCCAACAAAATAAAATTTATTTCAACAATTTCTCGCAAACAACAACGCAACCTAATATGCATGTGCATGCATGCATGCATGCAAATACTCTCTCAGTTTCCCTCCTTTTAATTGTTTAGAAAGATCTATATATAGATAATATATATAAATATTCAATTATGAATTTAATATGCAAATAAATAAAATTAAACTCAAGAAAAACTCTTCATGCACAGCCCTAACACAACACACGTGCAGTTGTCTGTACACCATAGTGGCTGAGCCGCAGTAGGCCGCAGCAACACCCATCAACAAAATGTTTGTAAATTATTCTCGTTTCGGAATTTAATTAATATTTTCCGGTTTTTATGACTCTTCTTAACTCATTAAATGCAAAATTATTTCATTTGAACTGCAAATTTCTCTGCTTTCCTCGCTCTCTCCAGCCGATACTGCTCTGAGGGCTTCCGTACGTTTGCAGTTAATCCCTAAGTACATTATCACTCTTTTATGCATTTGTTTTGTTCATTATACGTTATATAAGAAAGCCATTTAATACCTTCGAAGAAAAACAGCAGCAGCAGCAGGTGCTGCAGCTGCTGCAGCTGCAGCTGCTGCAGCGGCTACAGCTGCTGCAGGCCCAGCAGCACTTTTTTTGCTATTTTTTTTGTTGAAAACCAACGAAAATGGAGATGAATGAATTTGATGATGAAGAGCAGCAGCAGCCTCCGCTGTACGAACAGATGAATCTGTTTCCGCCGAATGTTTCTCTGCTATGTGCTGATAGCTCCGAAGACAAAGAAGATAAAACAAAAGAAACTGATCAAGGTAAAACACAAACAAAGACAGCACAAACTCTGCCTTAAGGAATTGTAATTCTATTAATATACAATACATATGCAATTAATATTATTCAATCTATTACATACTTTTTGAAGAGGCAGCTGCTCCGAAGCAGCAGCAGCAGCTGCTGCTGCTGCATCACTAGCAGCAGCAGCAGCTGCTGCTGCATCACTAACAGCAGCCCAACACATTTGCAATAATATTACTGTGATTATTTTTTTATGGTTGTATTATAATATATACGATATAACTGTTATTATTTATTGTTATTATTGCTCTTTCTCTTGTCCCTATTTATTATTGTTTATATCTAATATAACTATTATTATTTTTCGTGTACTTAATATTATCATTGTTACGAGCATTATTATTATTATTATTATTATTATTATTATTATTTAGTATTGGTTATAATTATTATTATTAT